AGGGAGCCCGATGCGGGACTCGATCCCGGGACTCCAGGATCATGACCTGAGCCGAAGGCAGTCGCTTAACCAACTGAGCCTCCCAGGCGCCCCTTTTAATTGGTTTTTAACAAGCTTTTTGTGTTTAAAAAATAATTAGGGCCATTTTTTTTAAAGGAGGGAATTTTAATAAAATGTAATAAACTGAAACACATAGCATTACATAAAATGGGAAAAAAAGCTACTTTATTATGATCTTCTCCCATGCACTTTCGGAGTTGCTGAGTCCAATTAACACAAGGAACTCTCTGGGTCAGAGGCCACCGATTCTCGGCATTGACAATTTCACTGAGCTGGGATAACAATTGGGGTTTGTGTCACCCGGCCACATGGCAGAATCACCCCAGTGGAAGGATTGACTTGAGGCTGTCTTGCTTATCTGTTAAAAAAGGCAGGACAACATTCTGGAAGCAGCTGCAATTTGAACTGACAGTTGCCCCATTTTACTGCCATGGCCTATTTTTAAATTACCTAGTGGAACTCAGACAAAGCACAGAAATGAAGGAGAAATGAAGCACTAGCTGCTGGCTTTGCCCAACGTACGGTTAGCGTTTGTATGCTCCATCAGTCCTGCTGAAGACCTCCGGCGCCCTGGCTTGCCCACAGAGGGGCGTGCTCGCCAGGTATTCCAATTAATCTATAATCTAATCATAAAAGAAGTCTCCGGTTTAGTCTGGTGAGTTCTCTGGTGGAACATTAAATCATGTTTTTATAACAAGATGATTTCTGTTATAAAGTACAACTGAGTCCCGGGCCAACTTTGGGCCATTCTGAGTTTCCTCCGTCCACAGAGAGCTTCAACCCAGACTCTCTTATGTCCTTGTGTTCTTGCCGGTCTGTGACAGAAGGAACTTAGCCAGGGCTTTGAAGAAGCCATCTGTCCATTCGCAGAGGGGTATGCCCTGGGGAGGAAGGCTCTCTCTTTCGCTAGTCACTCTCTGGTCAACACCAGCGTGGAGGTTTCCAGGTGGTTGATTGTAACTGACTTGTCTCCAAGCCCAAACTGGCCATCGCACCTCGGCAGCCTCACTGACTACTAGCCTCTTAGGCAACGTCAGGGAGCATTCACCGCTCCGAGGAACAGCATCTCCTGTTTTCTCTCGTTCATGATGAGGATTCCTATTTTGGCTGTTACGGCTGTATCAACTAGGACTTCAGCATGTGTGCATTCCTAAAACATTCTTGTAACTGTCAGTCATCACACGTTCATGGAGCTCCTATTAGGTGGTGGGCATTGGAAGTAGGACAATAAACAGCACCCGCTCTGGAGTAGCTTCCAGCCTAAGGGAGGAGGGAGATAGGAAGATGTATCCCAAGGTGGACTTGAGCCCAGAGGGTGTTATAGGAAGGCCAAAAAAGGCCAGGCCAAAAAAGATGGCCCTGGGGCGCCTGGGTGGCTCAGTTGGTTAAGCGACTGCCTTTGGCTCAGGTCATGATCCTGGAGTCCCTGGATCGAGTCCCGCATCGGGCTCCCAGCTCAGCGGGGAGTCTGCTTCTCCCTCTGACCCTCTCCCCTCTCATGCTGTTTCTCTCTCTCTCTCTCTCAAATAAATAAAATCTTAAAAAAAAAAAAAAAAGATGGCCCTGCAGAGGGGTGTGCTGATGGACAGATTCACGAGGAAGGAGACAAGACGCTCTGGCTTTGGTGTCTGATTGCCATGAAGTGTGAGAAGGAGCAGGAGAAGGAATCCAAGATAATTTCTGGAATTGTGACTTGGGCAGAAACAAATTCAGGAAGAGGAACCATTTTGAGGGAAACAGATGATACAGTCAGCATCTTGAGTCTGAGGCGCTTGTGGGACACGCCATGGTGAACAGATCAACGGCTAAAATGGAAAACAAACTCAAATGAGAATTCCCACAGATCTGCACTTGTCAAACCGTGGGCTGCACATTCCCTCTCCGTGACGTACATTTGGAGCTCGAGATGTCGTGTGCAGAGCTGTGGGATTACTCAGGTGCACCTCGAGGGTGCAGAATCTGAGCTACAGTCAAGAGGGCGGCTATGACAAACACACCAGGTGCTAACGATGACTCACAGCCTCCCAGGGTGGGGCCTTTTGGCAGGTAGAACCAGTGTGTGCGTGTGTGACCTGCCTCATCCACACACGGGCCTGGAGCCAGAAAGAAGGGAGGCCAGACCCTCAAGGAATCCGAGAATGGACAAGCAGAAGTTAGGGAAAATTAAAAGTGTGAGTCATGGAACGCTTATGCCCTGTGCTAAGCCCTGGCTGCTTTCATGATACCGGTAAGGGTGTTGGTAGGTTGACATTGACAGATTAATGGGAGCCATTTGAAAGGGGAGAAGCTCAAGGTTTCACAGGCAGGATACGCTGAATAAATAGGTAATGAAAGGAGGCATGCAAATATACCGAGGTCTCAGAAAACACAAAATGCAAATCGAGCCAGCCTTTTTGGACAACTGCACCGTCGTCAGAGAGCAACATTTGCAAGGAGCTGCAGTATGGAAAACACTATTGTGCATTATGCGGGGTCACTTTCTGGGAAACAAAACCCGTTCCTGGCCCAGGGGCTCTTGTCTTGTTTTTTGAACTTGACCGCAGTCTGGAGCAGCGCTGTCCCATAGAACTTTCTGCAATGGTGGAAATGTCCTACATCTTTGTGGTCCAGTATGGCAGCCATGGGACACATGTGGCTACTGAGCATGTGAAATGTGGCTAGCGAGACCAAGTAACTGGGTTTACAATTTTCTTTTAATTAATTTTTTTTATTAAGATTTAATTTATTTATTTGACAGAGAGAGACACAGCGAGAGAGGGAACACAAGCAGGGGGAGTGGGAGAGGGAGAAGCAGGCTTCCCGCGGAGCAGGGAGCCCGATGCGGGGCTCGATCCCAGGACCCCGGGATCATGACCTGAGCCGAAGGCAGACGCTTAACAACTGAGCCACCCAGGCGCCCCTCTTTTAATTAATTTAAAGGTAAAGGTAAATAGCCACACATGGCTAGTGGCCACTTTATTGGACAGTACAGTTCTAGACTTCTGCTGCCCTCATGTATGGATGGATATTCTGACCTTTTCAGCCACTGCAGGTCACTTGAAGAGGCTTTGTTTTTTATTTCAACCTCCAAAGTTTGTGCGGATCATCATGAACAAAACAATTAAAATGTTTATGTTGGGTAATCACCGTCACACTTAAGCTTACTGTGCTTTCTGGGAGGTTCAGGTGATCTCACCGGTCCACATCCCACTGAGCCAGGCCTGGGGACGAGCCAGTCGCTGCTGGTGTCAGGTTTACTGCCGCCTTCCCACGGAACGTTGGGTCCTTGTGACACGGAATCTATTTAGTTGCCGGTTGCTGATGGTGAAGGACAATAATCCTGTTCCTATCAGCAGGGCAAACGGTACTCTTGGTCTCTGCCTTCTTTGCTGACGAAGAAGTAAATGCAGTGACAACATGTCCTAAGTCCTTGAGGTATGTGCATTTGGAACAGTGTCCCTTTCAGCAAGGCTTGAAGACAAGAAAAGCTCATGACGCCCCTCTTCGTAGAAGGTTGCTGCTCCCCCCCACCCCCAAGTCCTGGGCTAATCATTCTCATCATTTTCTCTGGGGTAATCGGGGCTCCTGTTTCTTCTCTGTGAAGGTTTGGGAGGGCGAAATATCCTGTCAGTTACAGCAGGCTCGTCTAGGCCAGAGGCTCTCCTGGGGACATGGTTTCCTGCTCGTATCGAGAGACTGCTTTGCTTTTTAATCTACTAATCATCCAACTCCTAGTTGATTAGATGGAGCTGCTGTGTATTTTCCTATTTCTTCTACTCTGATTAAACAGTTAACATGGTTGTATGTAACTTTGAAAAGGGTCTAAAATTAAGTTGCCTTTTAAATTAAATTGGCTTTTAGAAATGTGGCTTGGGATTGGGCTGAGGTGAAAGAAGGTATTCTAGAAGCCTCAGAGCCTGCTCTGCTACTGATACTTCCTAGAGCACCATTTGTAAGACCGGTCGGACACCAAGGCAATTTATAATGTAATCTAATGTTAGCATGAACGTAAGAGTCTCTTGTTCTCACATTGATCCCACAAGATCAGCATTAATAATAAGTATCTCCTTGATGGGAAATTGAAGTGCTTAGAAGTGGTTTGTCTGAATTCACACTGTGATGAGGGACAGAGATGGCTCTTGATGGTGAGTGTTCTTTCTACTTTGCCACATCGCTGACTTAAATGCATTTAGGAGGTACCGCTTTAAAGAACCTCTCAGCACGAGCTTGCTGGTTATGGCTTTATCTTGGATTTAGGGGTAACACGGCCTCTGTCTAAGGTACAGTTAAAGCCACAGGCAGCAGTGAGGTCCCTGCGCCTCGTGGAGTGGCCGCCGTGTTAACTGTGCATTTGGGGATCCGCCCCCTCCAGGCAGGTGTCTGGAAATGATAGCTTGACACTGGATCTATGATTGGATGGTAAATGTCTCTAAGTCCAGGTTCATCAGAATTGTGATCATCTGAGACTGGGTCAAGGAAGGAACACGTGGCGGAAACTGCAATACAAGCATCAGAATTTGGTGGTGGTGCGCTTCACGCAGTGAGTGCGGTGGAAAGCGTCCTGTGGATTAAGCAATCCGCTCACTCACTGCCCGCTCCGTCAGAATGAACTCTCCTTTACAGATCAGAGGCAACGCTTTCCTTGGAGGGTTTTCAGCCACAGGAGTCTCTCGAAGGGAATTATGTAGGGGGAATGTTCACCTATGGAGGAGGGCTTTGGTTAGGTTACCCCTGCACGTTGAACTGTATCTTTCTCCTGCTCTTTTCTCAGTGACCAATTATCTTTTGCACCTGTAGACCTGATGTGGTACTCAACCCACTGAGCTCTGCAAACTGGGACTGGTCTGGCCTGCGTTCTCCTTTGGCAGGTGCCAGCATTCTGACAGCTTCCTCTGGGAGACTGGCTCCAGGACCTCCCTGGCACTGAGGATCCTATAAAAAGAGGTTTGATAAGTTCTGTATTCCCTCAGGATTTGAAAGATAGCGGGGCAGGCCCAGACTATAAGGGTTTAAGAACAACCAGATTTTCAGAGACATTTGGGCGGGGGCCCAAACCTGAGAAGAGAACGCTCCAAACCAACCCATGATCCTGGGGGCTGAAGAGTTCCTGATCTGGTTTATCTCGTAAGGGATCTCTGGCTTCATTCGTATGGAGCAAAAGTTGAAGGACTGAGCAGGGGGGCAGGGATCAACATTATGAGCACACAAGTCAGATGGCTGATGAATGATGCATTCAGTGACATTTTCGCCGCCCCACCCCCCAGCCTTCCTGTGCTTTTGTACCCAGAGGCAAATCCTCCAGTATCCCCCAAAGAATATCAGTAATACAGAGAGCAAAGCAGAGGTGAATTTCACTGTGGAAAATTCTGGTTTTGTCACTCTTCTTGATACAGAAGATGTGACCTTGAAGGCACTTGTATAATCAAGGCACAAACCCTTGGGATATCATTACCTGGAAAAAAATTGAGATCATGTAAGTCATGTTGTTTTGGGTTCTCTGGCAGACTGAGGTACAGAGACAGAGTGCAAACATGAAAAATCCTTTTCTTGTACTTTGGAAATGGCCAGTTTTATGCATCTGACCACATATTTTTGTCCTTATTTCATCATTACCTTTATATGTACAACCATATCCTTTTTTAGACGCAGTCTGAGTGTTTTGCAATGATGATTTAAAGAATGAATAATTTTTATAGCATAAAGAAGAAAACTACAGAAATCTGTCAACAGCCTGTCCCCCAAAGTTTGTGGAGAGGAGCATGAAACTTCAAGTCCTAGAATATCCTGAATGTGCTAGTATTGCCAAAGGAAATGGCCACGGTTATGCACTTGAGTCTTTGCGTGAAAATACAAGAACCCAGCTGCCCATGTGTTTACCAGTCTAGGAAGATTGCTGCATGTTACTGTTTGACTTACATTTTTTATCTGCCCTTGAGTTTTGTTCCTGCATGCAAAAAAAAAAAGAGAATTTTTCTTAATGCTAAAAATGTGTTCTTCTAGCCAAACTAGATTTAATTTTTTGGATTAATCTCACTCCCTAAGTTTAATCAGCAGCAGGCATTCTATTTCGTCTTTGACTAACGGGGAACGACCCAGGCGATGTGTTCTTCTCGATGGTGCCAATATTGTAAGAGAGTCTCTTTCCCCTTCAGACTCTAGGTGGAATATTTTATCGTGTGATTTCATGTTCCTTAATAGGGAGTATAGATCTCACCCAGGGATACATCTACATCCATAAACATCAATCATTGATGTTTTTAAGGTATCCTTTGAACATTAAATAACCACAGTGTAAGCATCCCAGATTAAAGGAGAAATCCCAACGAGAACTTGATTGATATCAGGTATCCAGGATCTATCCCGGGGATCTGCGCCACTGACAGAGAGAGAGAGTCCATCCTCTGGAGTATATTGCAGGCATAAAATATTAAATAAGAATTCATAAAAGGCATATTACTCATCTTAAATCAATTCACCATGCTAACAAACGGTGTTGAATGCAGCTTGTGGTATTTAGTGCTTACATAGGATAAGTAAAATTCGTACTCAGATAAGATCTTAAATATGAAATATGATCATATAGTTCAGTGGTTCAGAGCACCCTCCCTGGGTTAGACTGCCTGGAAGGGAACCCTGACTCCACCACACACTGGCATGAAGTCTTGGGTCAAGTTTCTTATCTTTTCTAAGGCTCAGTTTCTCATCTGTAAAATGAGGTAAATACATAGAGATTTATGAGAATTAAATAAGCTAATATGTATAAAACGCTTAGCACAGTGCTGGAACATTGTAAGCACTCAGATATTGGTAACTACAGCTATTATCATATCACTATCATATTGATCTTACTATCTTTTATTATCATCCAGACAAAAACATTTGAACAATTTCTAGTTATTACAGGATGCAGTTATTACTACATTTTACTCTATTTAAAAACAAGATTAAGCAACGCAGTGGGTTAGACTATACGCCCATACACATACATGATATATCTTCGTATCTGTATCTATCTTATGGCTATGGTTATATGGACAGATCAGATAGACATTGATGCAGGTGTATAGATAGATGATGCTGTGCTTTAGAAGGCCCAGTGCCTCAAGTCTTTTTTGTTTTTCCATTTTTTAAATTTTAAATTCAATTAGCCAACATATAATGATTCATTAGTGGCATTTAACACCCAGTGTTCATCCCATCACGTGCCCTCCCTAATGCCCGTCACCCGGTTACCCCATCCCCCCCCCGCCCCAGCAACCCTCAGATTGTTTCCCGGAGTCCAGAGTTTCTCATGGTTTGTCTCCCTCTCTGATTTCTTCCCTTTCCGTTTTCTCTCCCTGTCCCTATGGTCCTCTGTGCTATTCCTTATATTCCACACATGAGTGAAACCATATGATAATTGTCTTTCTCTGGTTGACTTATTCATCTTAGCCTCAACTCCTGAAATGAAAGAGCTGTAGCATTTCTGATTTGGATGGTGCCTCAGAGACAATCTCCATCAGGCCCATCAGGAAAGAAGATGGAGGCCCAACCGGGGTGAAGAGGGTTAGTTGCTCAGAAAAGAAGCTGCCTGGACAGTACCCAGGATGGGAGCTCTTGCCCTTGCGTCTCCCTGTCCTGACATTTAGGGTTTCCAACACCTCCTTTCTGAGTTGGCTTTTTCCTAAGTGACTGACACACACACACACACACACACACACACACACACACACACACACCACACACACACACACACACACAGCAGTAGAAGCAGGAGGAGGATATCTCCCAGAGTTCTAAGTACCTGTTTGGAAGATGACCCACTTGAAAACCGGGATCTCTCCAAATTTGTCTCTGGCCCCCAAAATTGATCTCGTTTCTTCTCATTTGGGTCTCTTCTGTATTCCTGTCGTCTCAGACAAGCCTGCAGAATAAAAAAAAATGTTTCCTTGGCTTAGGTGTGCGACGAGCTTTGATATATAACTTTTTGCTTAATTTCTATAATGAGGAGCATGAAATATATAACGTCCATCTCCAAGGGCTCATCAACACCTTTACCAAGTGTGAGGACACTCAGCCAGGTATCGTTCTCTCTTCCCTTTGCCCAAAATGCCAGGTCAAAAATAGTAGCCACTGCTTTAATAAATTAAAATCAACATACCAAGAGGTGTTTTGACAAGTATTTCCCAACAATTGCCTGCTTAGGGCAAGAAGGACCTGATACACGGTATTAGCTTCCCCTTCTGCCTTGCTCTTCTCCAAGCCCCCTCATTCTATCACCGCTCTACTCTGGCCTCTTGGATCACCCTGGTTCCAGGGGCAGGCTTTTCCTATGTGAGAGCTTTAGCATGTGCGCTTCCTTCCACTCGGAATGCCTTTCATGGGATGTTCACAGGCTGGCAAATCCTGCAGATCTAGTCAGATCCAGCTCACGTGGCATCTCTTTCCTTGCCTTGCTCCTCTTCCCCAGGCCAAATTAATTGCTCCTTTATACAGACGCAGCTTGAATTATGCAATTTTTTTAAACTGTTGTACAAGTTAGTTGTTTTGAGCCTGTATCTCCTGCTGATCAGTAAGAACCCTCAGGGTAAGGACCACCTCTTATCTTTTGAATCCCCCAGCATCTAACATTTAATGTTCGCTGAATTGCATTATTGTTTCAGAGGGAAATATCAGTCCCCAAATGCAAAACAATAAAAAAAAAAATAAAAATAACCAACAAAAAAATTTTCCGTTGTTTAAAAAACAAACAAAATTAAGAGAAAATCTAGTACCAATACATTTCTTCTCCAGGATCAGGACAGAAAAAAACCCCAAGGATATCATGTGCTATGGGGGTTTCAACTGATATTTTAAATAGTTTAAAATAGTAAAACTTCTTGGAGCATTTCTATAAATTCAGTGCCCGAATTCACCTTTGCGCTGCTAGAGCCAAATTATCCACTGTCATGGTAAAGAAACGCAATGTAAAGACCAACAATACTGTTTCTAAACAGGGCCTGACATCTCCCCTTCCTGGCTGGGTTGAGAAAGGAAAGATTCCTTCTTCATTTTTCCCCTTTGTTAGAAAATGCATCTCCTTCCTTGATGTGGAAGGACTTGCCAGAATTTCACGCCTCTGGGAAAGCCTAATATTATGCTACGTGGGTAAAAATAGAAATGACCTGATATTAACAAAACATTTACCACTTGGAATTGGGAACAGCGAGCTGGTTACACTGTGCTTCACAGCCACGTTGCTGGTGAAGCCCTGGCCTCAGGGCTTATGCACAGCGGCCAGTGGTACCTGCGGCAAGTGGAATCCTGTCGAAAAGTACGGTTCCACCCTGCCTTATTTGGAAAGGGAGAGCAATCCAAAATGGTTGCCCCCCCTTTTCTCCTGTTTCACTGTTAATCTTATTTTCAAAAACTATGCTGTATAGATAGCAAGCCATCTTAATCGTGGGCAGTGTTTTTTTTTTTTTTTTAATTATTTGAGGCGGGGGTGGAGGGGCAGAGGGAGAGAGAATCCCAAGCAGACTCCCCACTGAGCATGGAGTCCGACCTGGGGCTCGATCCCAAGACCCTGAGGTCATGACCTGTGCCGAAATCAAGAGTCGGACGCTCAACCAACTGAGCCACCCAGGTGCCCTGGCAGTGTCTGTTTTAATAAATAATTTGAGCAAAAAACCCCCCCCAAAAGTAGTGGACAGTAACTATGATAAATAAGTTAAACATCGAGTATGAAAATAAACCAAAGTAAACCTGAAGAGAGTTAGCCAGAGAGTTTAATGACGTTCCAGTAAAGACGGGCCTCTCCTTTTTCATTCCTTTTCCAATGACTTCAGATTGGAGCCCGTTTGGGAGGAACCCTGGCTCGGAGTGTTGTTTCCTGGAGCGGCAGATGTCTGTGTTATCCTACCCGACTGGGATTGCAGGCGCAAACAGCAAATGCTGATAGGCTCAAAGAGGAGGACAGTGTTAGCAAATGCACGCAGGACCAAGGCAGATTTTGTGGGATGAACAGAATTCTTGTGGGTTGAGTGTTTTTTGAAAATTCTCTCCAAGAATGCATGCAACTTAAATATTTCTTTACCAAAAGTGGAGGAGGAGTAGAATGGTTTGCAGTGTCGAAAAAAAAATTTTCTCCTCTGGTTCCTTTATGCCTCCTCTCATAGAGGAGTCCGAGAGCAAACCCGTGACAGGGTACATAATTTTTATCTTGATAGAGCCAAGCAGCAATCTTTCTGTGTAAATCAAACATCGGTCCTCTTGGAGTGATAGCTTTGCCCAGTTGAAGGAACACAGGGACAGAGAGGCAAGTCCAGACTTCCAGTCCTAGAAATAGCAAGACAGGAGCCGTAACTGCCCCACATCCCCTGGGGGCTAGTTTTCTTATTATTTGTAAATGTGAACGATTTTTTTTTTTTTTTTTTTTACCATTTTTGATGCTGATGTTTCCACAGTGGGGGTCCCAGAGCGAAAGGGCAGAGTGTGAAATCCACAGGCTGGCAAGGAGGAACTGACGTGTAACTCATGATCACCGGGGGCTCCCCTTCCCCTGGAACTTTAAAAATATTCCCTTTTCAGTTCCACATGTCTGGAGCTAGATTGCTATAAATAAGTTTCTGTTCATGTGACGGAACTGGCTGAGGGCGGTCTGAAAATGGAAGGCTTCAGGTAACTCATTTCCTCCTCGAGCTGGGTGGGGGGCTTCCTCCTTCACTCCTCCTCTGGCGCTGCCCCCACAGCCCCCCCTCCCAGCCCATCCCTCTATCGGCTCGCAGTCAGGCTGCCTCCAGAGCACAAGCTCCCAATGTGGGGGCAGAACACAGAATGTGCATATATGCCTTTGGCGGATGACGTGGGTTCTGTGACTCACTGTAACTCAATACGGGTAAACATGACAAGCCCCAGCTCTGCCACTTTCTCGCAACATGACCTTGGGCAGCCTGACTAACTCCACTGATTCTTGCTTCCCTCATCTGAACGAGGGAGATGCCCGGTGCTGCCGCCAGATTGCCAGGGAGCCTGGGGCCTTGTTGGCAGGGCGCTGGGCAGAGTGACTGGCTCCTGGCGAGTGTTCAGTGAAAGGCACTCATCACCACCATCATCACCCTCATCACCCTCATCACCGTCATTATCATCATTAGGCTTAATTGCTGTTTCTGATCCCATTGCTTGGTTTACTTCTATTTCTAAAGTCAGCCTTTGCCAAATCGCGTGACTCGGATCCTGGTCAGGGAAGAAGAAAGAATCTTTCTGTCCGGGCCTGAGCTTCATCCTTGTTTTTGTGCCCTGGAGGCAGCGGTCTGTTTCCTAGGCCCGCAGTTCCCCCGCCAGACAACTGAGGAGATCCTGCCCTCAGTCAGTCAGGGTACCTCATAAAGCGCTTTTTCTTCAGTGTTGCAGCTTTCTGAATCCACCGTTGTGGGGGGGTAATGGGGGGGTGGGAAGCTCAGTTTCTTACATTTATTTGATTATCAGTCCCGCCTCCAAGTCCGCATCTGGGCTCCGGAGGCCTTAAGAAGCCACCAGCCATAGGAACACTTTCCCGGCCTCCCGGTTCCAGTATGAAAAACCCCGTGACCACGGGGCATCTCTGCCTCTCGAGCATGGTGGCCTCCGCCAAGGTTATTGTCGCTCCAACCTCCAAGCATTTGGAGAAGTAGGACTTGCCACTGCTTCGGTTGGTACTTCTCTGTTCTTAGGATCTAATATGCGTAACCCGGACTTTGGGGGTTTAATTATCATTGGTGGCATTATTCAAGTTCATTAGTTTTAAGATGTTAAGGAATCAGAGGTGTAAGAACAATTTGACATGCTATTCCCCTCAAATGAGTTTCTTTTCCTGTTCTGTCTGTGGAGAGGACAGAAGCACGTACCTCAGAGGTGAGCAGAGAACCCTCCCCCAGGCCCCCATGGGAGGGGAAGCTGAGTTTTCTCTACTCCCTCAAACCCCTGAGTGGACGGTCCCCAAGCCCCCCGCCACCTGGCACTGTCACCTATCATGTCCTTGAACAAGTTCATAGCGTCATGTTCAGTTGTTTGCTCAGTCCTTGAAAGATCAGGATGAAACAAATGACAGGGAATGAAACCCATCCGAATACATTTGATAGATTACAGAATATCATTCTGAAATGCCAAGTGTAATCTTTCTCTCCAGCTTTCGGTAGAAATTAATGGCTAAATTCTGCCTCAAGTTACATAAACACGTTTGACCAAAAGAAGGAAGGGGGAAAAAAAAAATCTATGCAGCATGAACACCCTTGAAGAAACAGAGCCAAATCCTGAGATGGCATGTAATTATGTACTAGCTACCAGATTCTGAAATAGCATGTAATATGCCAGATAGATGTTTATTTCCTCTTGTTTTTTCAAAAGGGTCCCACCCAACCACTGAAAGAAGCAGCATCAAAATAACTCAGGGTGTGTTTAAGCCACCTCTCCTGGTGCTGCCACACAGACCTGTAAAGGCACTGCTAATTTGGTGTGCACCAACCCTTAGCATATTTTAGGATGTCACAGGAATATGTACACAGGAGGTTTGTAAGGGCTTCAATTTGAGCCAGTTCATTAAAGGCGAGTGAAGCACAGGCAGGAATCTGTGGCAAATTTATATGATTTAGGAGTCCTATCTAGTTATTAGGTCTTACACTATTTGTACATTCTGAAATGGGGAGTCCCTAGTGTGCAAGCAGGTTGCTGCCCTGGGAGTGAAAGCTGGGATTCCTTGGGCCAAGCTCATTGATGAGCCAGGGATTCAATATCAACCCGATGCAAAGTCTATCTTAGTAAATTATCTAGATACACACAGGTCATATATGGACCAAGTTTTTGAGGGGTTATTAAGGTCATGCAAATGATTCTTAAACCCCTATTTTAAATCCTTTCTGGAACAAGTCAAGGGAGAGACTAAATCATACAAATAGCTCACCACTGTTCCCTTCGAAGTCGTTTCTGTGGGTTGCTATATATTTAATTCAACAATACTCAGAACATATTAAAGACAACCATATTTATTTTTTGCAGACTTTGTGGTGAGTGGTTTTGAAAATGCTGAATGAGGGTGGACTTGACCTTGAGAAATAGTTACAAGTCAGCTGAATCTAAGACTGATAAACAGAGTTGGTGGTCAAGTTAGGTAATGGTGCCTTACATCAAAGGCAGGGCATTCAGTTCGACATAGAAGAGTATGTCTCCATCCCTGCCCATAAGAAACTGTGGTTCAGATTGAGGGGAAGTCACCCAGAAGACAATTTCAATACAATTTCATAAGCAACGTGAAAGAGGTATGAAAGGGCGATTTGGTATTGGAGTGATGGAAATGTTCTAAAGCCGGATGATGATTTGGCTGCAGATTTGGTAAATTTACTGCAAGTCATTAAATTATACACTTAAAACAGGTGAATTTTATGATATGTGAATTATACCTCAATGAAGTGGGGTTTTAAAAATATTTATTTGTCAGAGAGAGAGAGGGAGAGAGAGCACAAACAGGGGGAACAGCAAGCAGAGGGAGAAGCAGACTTCCCACTGAGCAGGGAGCCCAATACGGGACTCAATCCCAGGACCCTGGGATCATGACTTGAGCCGAAGGCAGATGCTTAACCGACTGAGTCACCCAGGTGCCCCAATAAAGTGAGTTTTAAAAGAAGGGTGTGGTGGGAGTACAGAGGTTTCATTTAGTTCTAAATTCAAACTGCAGTCTCTACCACCCTTGTCAAGAGAGTAAAGAAGGGGGAAGGGGAGGTCAGAGAAGCGGTGAAGATTTAGGCTGCTCTGGTTGTGGTTCTTGGGTCTTGGACCTGCCTCTACGTGGGGGGAAGCAACTCCAGGATTTCATGCATTCCAACTGCACTGTCAAGTTCACATTTTAGATAGATTTCAAAAAAGCAATCTGAAGGATGCCAAGGTTGGAGGCATGGAGAACGGTAATAAGGACATTGTAATGATCTTGGAAAGAAACCATGGAAGTGGGAACCAGGGTGGTGGCAATGGGATGAAAGGAAGGCACCAGTTCAAGAGCTCTTAAATAATGGTGGCAGGACTTGGTAACAGGTGGGATGTGGGTGGTGAGGGAGAGAAAGGAGTCAGGCAAGGCTTACATACAGAGGAGGATGGCAGAGGGTGGACATGCTGAGGTGCCTCTGTGACATCCAGATGGAAATGTGCAACAAGCAGGCGTGCATGTGATCGTGACACTTTAGGGAGACTCAGTATTACAGGTCATTAGTCTACGAGTGATGGTTAAAAACATGGAAGGGAGGAGATGGGTCACAGAGACCTTGTGAGTTGGAAGAAAGCTAGGCTGTTGGAAACCGGGGGAATTAACATTTTTGAGGCAGGGAGAAGAATGGGAGAGAAACAGAAGGAAAATCAGCAGAGTGTGCTGTCAGAAAGCCGAAGGAGTAATGTTTTGAGAAGGAAAGAGTAATAGTGTCAAATGTAGATAAAGCTTCAGAAAACAAAGACTAAAAAAATGTCCCTTGAATTTGACTACTGACCTTAGAACAACTTCAGGGAGGGGAGGGGGCAGCCAGGCTGCAGTGGGTTAGGAATGAACGGGGTTGGCGGGGGGGAGTAGAGATAGAAATGTAGCAGGTTGGGGACAGTGCCAGGGCTGTGGCTAGAGATGGACCGCGTGTCCTGCAGCTTTGTTCTTTTGTTCTCAGTATAGGAGGGACTTGAGCATGTTTGTAGGCTGAGCCAATTAGAAGGAAGGAAATGTCAAAGATACAGACGACAAGTCCCTGGATGGAGAGGGGCTGGACACAGCAGGGTGTGGGCCAAGAGCTCCAGCCAGGCGCTGGCTGGGAAAGTGTTGTTTCCCCCTGCGAACTTGAGGGCTGGATGGGTGTGTAGCCTGGAATGGAAGGGGAGGAGTGGCGAGGCTTCCCACCTGCTGGCCTTGGGTACTTTGCTTTGTTTCCTGTGTGTATAAAACAGGAAGAGAAGTTTTTTGTTGAAAGTGTGGGGATTGCAGGTCTGAGAAAAGTAGGAAAGTTGAAAACCGACAATGACAGAGGGAGCTGATGGACGAGTAAGCATGTCGATGCTGAGTCAACCTTCACTCCTTTCTCTCCCTCACTCCTCCTCTCCATATAACGGCATGATGTCAGTTCTTCTTCTGTTTCCTGGGTTGGGCCACTTCTCACCACCTCCACTCCTACCCCCTGGGTCTGAGCCACCATCATTTCTCTCCTAAATTTCTCTCAGAGTTTCCTTACCAAGTTTTTCTGCTGCTTCTCAAGTCCCTTTCCTTCCTTTCCCCATACGGCAGCAAGAGTGATCTTTAAACACTGTAAATCAGATCATGCTGCTCCCCCGCTTAAAATCATCCCAATAATTCTCCCTAAGAATAAACTCCAAACACCAAACTTTGTCCTGAGAGATTTGACACGACCTGGCCCATTTACCTCTCTTACCTTGTCATGTGCCACATTCTCCCTTGATCAATGTGTTTCAGCCACTCTGGCCTTCTTTTGTTTCTTCCAGGGCTCCAAGTTAGTTCCTGCCTCAGGGTCTTTGCACTTGCTTTCCTTCTGCTCAGGATGCTCTGGCCAGCTCTTTCCCATCTTTTACCTCTACACTCAAATGTTACTTCCCCAAAGAGGCTTCCCTAACTGTGTAAGGGAGCATCACCCCCCAGCTGGTTACCTCTGTTTGCCTCCGTATATTTATCAGTAATCAAAACTATCTTACATATTTATTTAGTTGTGTGTATTGTCTGTTTCTCAATTCCAGAATAAGAATGCTGGGAGAGAAGGGACTTCGTTTAGGACATTGTATGCACTTGATAAAGTGTTGTTATTTATAAGGATAGTGTTGAAAGTATCCTTATTAATAAGGACAGTGTTGAAAGTCCAATGAAATTAGAAAAATAAAGCCCCAGTGACTTTAGGCCACACAGTTGTGTGATTTTCTCCAGCAGAGATCATCAAATAAGACTGATTTTCTTACGTGCTTGTTCTGGAGACAATTTCAAACAAGCATTTCCAAATGAAGGTCAGGTGGCAGAGGCGTCTTGGTGAAAAGCAGATGGATTCCCAGTGTGACCAGTTCATTTTACAGAAATTCCCTCAATTTTACAGTCTCGTGCGTGGGTTGGCAAGTTGTGGGAGGAAGTTGTTGACTCTGTTTCCAGCCCCACAGCTGAGCTGTGCTATACAGGTGAAATCAGGTTACTGAGCTCGGTCTGGTTTCCTTGGTGACCCAGGAGGTTTGGTTATATTTGAAATTGCTAAGAAGGAGAAAAATCTGATAGCAACAGTTCTGTGTTTTCCTTAAGGAAGGAGCACTTTTCAATCCTCTGCTGAAGCAGAGGACATGCCTCTTTGGCAAGGGTTGACCTCTGGCCAGCAGGCTGGGCGACACTTTCTCACTGCTCCCAGAATCTCACGCCCAGTCTGGCAAGTTTGTCCTGTGCTAGCTCTGGGTGATTACATCACGACTCCTCGGGCTCCCTGTCTGTTTTGTTTTTGCATGTAAACACTGTAACTAGGGTGACGAATAGTTAGCTTGTTGGAGAATGTGTTAACCACCTTTCTTCTGGTGGGATGACAGTGGAAAGGCATGTTATTTTATAAATGGTAGGTCAACCCCATTAACTCTTTAAGGGTTTTTTTCTGGATAGCTGGCTTATCAAGCTTAAGCCTTCATGTCATTCATTGACTAGGTTTGTGTGCCAAGCTCTGTGCTAAGTACTTTTCAAGTGTTATTTTGTTTTCGTGACAATATTATGAAGTGGGTGCTATTATTATATTTTTTTGATTTTTTTTAGACAGGGTGGGAGGGGCAGAGGGAGAGGGAGAGAGAGAATCCTAGGCAGACTCCAGGCCTAGTACAGAGCCCGACACAGGGCTTGATCTCACAACCCTGAGATCATGACCTGAGCTGAAATCAAGAGTCAGATGCTTAACTGACTGAGCCTCCCAGGCGCCCCAAAGTGGGTACTGTTATTAACCCCATTTTAAGGATGAGGAAACACAGAGAGGTCAAGTGGCTTTCCATAGTCACACATCTAGGAAGTGATGGGTTTTGGATTTTAGAAAGTGATTACTGCTTATCATGTACTCAGACTGTATCCTGAATTCTCACATAATTACTGTAAGGAAGGTGGAAGATGATTCTAGTTTTTTGCAGTTACCTGATATTCAGAGTCCACCTTATGCTGCATGTCCCGCAGATATTGAACATTACTCACGAACTTCTGCCTGTCCCTTGCTTCATGCAACATGATTCTTAATCCCCAACCTGCATATAAAAGATAAATAAATGTGCTGTGACATAATCCTTTGTTGCTGTGCCGTATTTGGATTTATCTTAGTATAATTGCTTTTATTCTCTTATTAATCTAATTTCCATTGTTTGAAAGGCACAGATGCTCCTTTCAACCAGCAAGTACTCTTTGTATTGGTGTGGATGCCCTTACAGCCCTCCTGTTCTGGGCATAAATAATGCAGCCACATTCATCAGCTGGCTTCAGCGATCCCGTCCTGGTTGGTTATTCATAGGGAGTTAGACTGACAGACACCTGATTCAGAAGCAGTTCTATGACTTGACAAAAAAAGGAAACCCAAGAATCTAGCGAAATTAGCAATGACTAAAGTTATGAGCGCCTGGTCACTTAAATTCACTTATTCAACAGTCGTGTCCTTATTCCAACTGAGGCCCTATGCTGGGTGCTGGGATACAGCAGTCAGAAGGATGAACGTGCCCCTGCCTTGGTGGTGTTTACAGTCGGGTGGGCAGAGGACTGACACTGAACATTGCCGCACCCCAGCCACTTCAAACTCCACGAGGTGTTCTCACGAGCCTGCCCCTCCTCCAGAATTATCTGAGGGGAATGTTCATACCGCCCAGCGAGCTGCTCGAACCCATAACCTGGCCGGCTTCCTAACATTCCCTCTCCCGCGCCATCCATATCATCACCCAGCCCTGATGATTTTCTCCCCTGAGCAGCCCCTGAATCCATCGTGGTGTGAGTGTGGGCCCTGCTGTGTGAGACTCTCAGGGTTCAAATCCCAACTCTTTTGAGCATTGACTAGGGAACCCTAATTGTGATAAGGGCTATGGAGTGGAAATGTGGGCTTCTTTGAGAGACGGTTATTATGGGAGGGCATGACATGGTCTAGGGGGCAAGGTTTTCCTTAGGAAATGACACTGGGCTTGCTAAGGAGTGAGCCAGGCAAGAAGTGGGACAGAGAGCTTCTCAGACAGAAAGGACAGCAGGTGCCGGAGCTTTGGGGCAGCAGGGGGCTGGTGCGGTTGAGGACCAAGAGGGTCAGTGCAGCTGGAGCAGAGAGAGGGGAGAACAGCAACGCAGGGCTGTCGGGGAGACAGGGGCCAGCCGGTTCACTTGGAGCCTGGAAGGTTATGATTGCAAGAGCCATATGACTGCCGCTGGAAGATTCCAACCTGGGGAATAAATGGTTAGATTTGCATTTTATTTTGTTTTTTAAAGATTTTATTTTTAAGTAATCTCAACACCCAACATGAGGCTCAAACTCACAACCCCAAGATCAAGAGTCACACATTCTCTACCAACTGATCCAGCCAGGTGCCCCTAGATTTGCATTTTCAAAGGCCCCTCCAGCTCTAGTGTAGAGAATGAAAGGGGGGGGAGTAAAAACGAAAGTAGAAGGACCCCCGGGAACATATGACAATAATCCAGGTAAGACAGCGACCACAGTTGGGTAGCAACAGTGGAGAGGAGGCAACGGTGGAGGAGGCAGACATTGGAGCTACTATTTACTGAGCCTCCTGAAGGTCTGGGCACTCTTGTCAACATTTACACACAGTAACTCACTGGATCTTCAGGATGGTGCTTGAGGCAAGCACTCTATTTCCATTTTGCTGATAAGGAAACTGGAGCACCGAGGGAGTAGGTAACTTGCTTAAGGCTGCAGAGCTGGTAAATGGAAGAACTGGGGTTTGAACCCACAGAGTCTCACAGCAGGGCCCACACTCTCACCACGATGGATTTGGGGGGCTACTCGGGGGAGAAAATCATCAGGGCTGGGTGATGGAAGGTGGAGGAAGCCAGCCAGGTTATGGGCTCGCAGCAGCTCCCCAGGGAACCGGTGGCTGGTCGGTGGACGATTCTGGAGACGTTTCTCTTTGTGAGAAAACCACGTGGAGTTTGAAGTGGGGGGCTGGTGGGGGGGGGGAGTGGAGGCGTCAGGCCAGCGCCTAGACGCGGGGCTCTGGAGCTGATGAGAGAAGCAAGGATTTGGGCACCACGGGCATTGGGTGACAGCTGAAGAAGGCAGTATGTGTACTGGGAAGAGGAGGAGAAGCCGGGACAGAAAGCTGAGGAACACTCCAACTTGAGAACACCGAGCGGAAGAGAAGCTGCAAAGCAGCCGGAGAGGCAGGAGGCAAACCAGGTGGGCGCGGTTCCATGGCCGTTGCGAAGAGCGCGTTTCAAGGAGCAGGTTATTTATAACCTTGGTGAGTGCACTGAAGACAGATTGCTGAGGATTGCGCAAATGAGAGGTAAGGCAGTAGAGACGATGCTTTCAGGAGCTCGGGCTCTGATTGGTGTGGCCTGAGTTTATGACCAAAATATTTAAAGTCACACAGTTAGTAAACGGCGCTGTTCATGATGAGTCTGAGAGACCTCCTCGGTTAGGGTCACCTGAAGTCCTACACATCCTGCTTTTGGGGCCACTGAAGCCCTTTCAGTGATTGCTACATGTATTTTTTTTTTTTAATTGACGTAGAACATGACATTCGTTTCATGCGTACCACAGAATGAATAGATATCTGTGTATATTGCAAAATGATTGCAATAAGTCTAGTTAACATCCATCACCCACATAGTTATAATTTTTTTCCTCTCGTGATGAGAACTTTTAAGATCTATTTGCTTAGCAACTTTCAAATATACAGTATTTTTTAAGTCTCTTTATTTTTTTTTTTAAAGATTTTATTTATTTATTTGAGAGAGAGAGAATGAGAGACAGAGAGCACGAGAGGGAAGAGGGCAGAGGGAGAAGCAGACCCCCTGCTGAGCAGGAAGCCCGATGTGGGACTCGATCCCGGGACTCCAGGATCATGACCTGAGCCGAAGGCAGTCGCTTAACCAACTGAGCCACCCAGGCGCCCTTTAAGTCTCTTTATTTTATTTATTAATCTCTACACCCGACGTGGGGCTGAAACTCATGACCCCGAGATCAAGAGTCACATGCTCTTCTGACCGAGCCAGCCTGGCGCCCCTCAAATATGCAGCATTATTAACTATAGTCGCCATGCTGTATGTTACATCCTCAGTACTTATTATTTTATAACTGGAAATTTGTGCTTTTTGACTCCCTTCGCCAATGTTGCCCCCCTCCCTCCCCAATCCCTGCCTCTGGCAACTGCCAGTTTGTTCTCTGAATGTTTTCTCTATCTGTGAGTTTTGTTTTGTTTTTTAGATCCACATATGAGTGAGATCATACAGTATTTCTTTCTCTGTCTGACATATGTATATCTCACATTTTACCTATTCATCCATCAATAGACACAGAGTTTGCCTCCATGTCTTAGTTATTGTAAATAATGCTGCAATGAGTTAGTGTTTTGGATGAACACCCAGAAGTGGAACTGCTGGATCATATGGTAGTTCTATTTTTAATTTTTTGAGGAACCTCCATATTGTTTTCCATAGTGGCTGCACCAATTTACATTCCTACCAACAGTGCACAGGGATTCCCTTTTCTCCACATCCTGATCAAGACTTAACTTCTTATCTTTTAGATAGTAGGCATTCTAACAAGGGTGAGGTGATATCTCATTGTCAGTAAGGGTGATTGCATTCCCTCATGATGAGTGAGTTGAGCACCTTTTCACGTACCTGTTGGCCACATGTATGTCTCTTTTGGAAAAATATTCAAATCTTCTACTCATTTTTAAATTGGGTTTTTGGGTTTTCTTGCTATTGAGTTGTTTGCGTTTTTTTAAAATATATTTTGGATATTAACCTTTTATTGGATATATGATTTGCAAATATTTTCATTCAGTAGTTTGACTTTTCATTTTGATGATGGTTTCCTCTGCTGTGCAGAAGCTTTTTGGTTTGGTGTAGTTCCACTTGTTGGTTTTTGCTTTTGTTGCCTTTTTTTTTTAAAAAAAAGTTTATTTAAGTAATCTCTATACCCAACATGGGGCTCATGACCCTGAGATCAAGAGTCGCCTGCTCTTCCAGCTGAGCCAACCAGGCACCCTGCTCTTGTTGCCTTTGATATCAAATCCAAAAAAGCATTGACAAATCAAGGTCAAGGCACTTACCACCTATGGAGTATTATGGTTTCAGGTCTTATGTTCAAGTCTTTAATCCATTTTAATTTTTGTGTATAGTGTAATATCACCCAGTTTCATTCTTTTCCGTGTGCCTTCCAGTTTTCCCCGCGCCATTTATTGAAGAGACTGTCCCGTCCCCATTGTAAATTCTTGGCTCCTTTGTCATAAATTAATTGACTATATATGCATGAGTTTTCCAGGGCATTCTATTCTGTTCCATTGATCTATGTGTCTGCTTTTATGCCAATATCATATAATTTTATTACTATAGCTTTGTAATATTGTTTGAAATCAGGAAGCATGATGCCTCCATCTTTGTTCTTCTTTCTGATACACATTTTTTAGTGACTACCATGTGACAGGTGCTGCTCTAGACACTGGAGAAACAGCAGGATAAGATAGACAACATCCCTACCCTTGGGTGTTTGCATTCTGAAGCTCTCCTTCCTCTCTTCATTTTTTTCATTTGTATAGATATTGGCAAAATCAGGTTGCCCCTGACTCATGGTGACTCAGTGTCTGGACTGGTCTTTGTGAGATCTCACCAGGTTTACCACCTAGCCCTGGGCAGTATCATCTAGTAACTTGTGCTGCTTCCTCTGGAGTTGCTGTCTCTGAAGTATACAAAGTTGGTCTTTGAGAGTCCAAGTCTAAAGCTACAACCAACAGATAGTTCCACAGACTACATGCAAAACCTAAATTTTGCCTCTGAGGATTTTTAATAGTCATTTATAGAACTACACTTTAAAAGATCATTTTTGGGGCCCCTGGGCGGCTCAGTTGGTTAAGCATCTGACTCTTGATTTCGGCTCAGGTCATGATCTCAGGGTCGTGAGATCGAGCCCCGCTTTGGGCTCTGTGCTGGGCATGGAGCCTGCTTGAGGTTCTCTCTCTCCTCCTCAGCTCCTCCTCCCTTGTCTCTCTATCTCTCTTATTTTTTTTTTTAATTTTTTTTTTTTAAA